TTATCACGAGCTGTGGTTGAAGCAAAAACCATCAGTGTATTAAGAGGAAACTTCAGGGATACATGAAGGAGAAGGGCAGAAAAGGATGATAAAGGGGTTTGGAGGGGCAGAGGGCATGTGGAGTATTAACACTGGATCAGAATAGTTGGGTCGAACAGCCTGTTTCTGTGCTGTAACATTCTATGTAATTCTACACAAGTAATAAGAATTCAATCGCATCCAGATCTTCCTAACATATCGGATATAATGTATTTCAGAAGTCGCTACAAAATGTTATTTGAGACAGAGTTCCTGATCTGTTATAGGCTTTGCAAATGGACACCAAATCTATGATTTCAACTCATAAAAATAGGGCTTCATTCCACAGGACCTTTCCGCATATTGACCTTTTTGATCAATTTTTGAAAAAAAAGATAATGTAGCAACAATTTACCGTGTTATTTTCACTTATACTCTCTTAAGCCAATTCGTTAAAGCTTAATGTGAAGTATCTGATCGTTTCAGCTCATTGCCACTACTAGCGTTCACCTGTGCCGTTTAAAGTTATGGGAGTAAGACTTTCAGTCGGTTCCAAATGGAGTCTTTATAGATAAAATATGTAATAGCAATACCACTAAAGGAATTCTAATCTGGTGGCATCATTTTACAACAACAACAACTTGGATTTATATATCGCCTTCCACGCCGGACGACGTCTCAGAGCGCTTTACAGTAACGGATCCCGTTAGTATGTATTCTTTTGGAGACATGATTTGCAACCCAGAGTATTCCATTTCTTGTGTAACAGCAATTAATAAATAGCTGCACCATGTGGTGTCTGGTTACCAGGTTTCATCTCCAGTTCCTGTTGAGTTAGATGATGTCAACTGAGGTAATGGGCCACTACAGTTAACCTTATTATTTTTCAGGCTAGAAGGGAAAAACATTTGGAGATGATAATAATAATCCTTGCGTTTGAAACAGCGCCTTATCACATCTCTGAGATGTCTCAAAATGCTTGAGATTCCTATTCCTGATTACCATAATCAAAACTAAACTAATGGAAAATGTATGTGTAGGGGCCTAAACTAAGAAGCACATTGGGTTCTGCACCGTAGCTCTATTTTTGCTCTTTCTCTCAACCTAAATCAAGGTTGACTGTCGTGGTTCACTGGCTTTCGTCCCTTATGTTGAAGTGCCGTAGTCTACTGAGGCCCATCAAATCGGGCCTCAATAAGTGTTGCTGTGTTCAGGGTAGAAAGGAGAAAATCGAGACATTTTTCCTTTCAATAGAATATAAGTACTTCAGTGGCAGACAGGTTAGGTATTGTAGTGTGCCAGTAGCATATAACGAGAGGAGTCTGTTTAAGAAGATTAACATTTTTCAAAGTCTGCTGTTACACCAAGTTGCAGATGAATACTGTTGATTTAAAATACTAGCAGAAAAATGCAGAAAACATAAAAAGAAAAACTGCAAAATAAAATAACAGAAAATACTGGAAATGGACTGAAATTCTCAGTGATTTTAATAGTGTATCAATTCATAAGAGAGAGAGATCACTTAATGTGGGCTATCGGTGTTCACTGTGTGATAAGCCCCCAAATAAAATATTTGAGGCTAATAGAAATAAGATGTTACATTATTTATAATATTCGTAAAAGATACATTCTGTGATGACATTTTGTATGTCTTTGGATTCTCTTTTTAATTCTGGTAGCTCTTTCAGTAGTTGTGTTGCAAGTGTGATAAATGATCACATGCTAACATTCAAGCTCTTAGTACTGAGCTTACCAGCTTACGAAGAGAAGGTTTATCCAGTTACCATATTTCAGTAATCTTGTTAAATCTTTCATCTAGATTTCAGTTTGGGGGGCGTCCTGCTGTGTCGGAGTTACCCAGTTTTAGAAGTGACATTAAACTCAGTTGAGCATTAATGGAAAATTCATTTTCAATTTATAATGCCTTATTACACCTCAAAAGTACTTCCCGGATAATTACTCTCATTTTAGCGACTTTATGTAGATAAACTTCACCTGAATGTTTTGTTGAATGACTGACCCTCTGGCAATGCATTGGTCCTCCAGGACTACACTGAGTGTCAAACCTAGACTACGATTTCAACTCATAAAATACGGCTTGAACCCACGGACATTTGACACAAAAACTTGTGACCCGGCGGCAAGATTATCTGTTGAGCCAAGCGGACCCAAGATCCCATTAACAGAGATCGCTGTTTATTATTATTATTATATTATTGTATGTTTTCCTGCATTCCTCTAGATCAATTCATTACTTATTCTACTGGCTCTTTGTCTGTCCGCATTTTACCTTCAAATGCACCCTTTGCACTTGACAGTAATTACGTGTGAATCACTAAGTTTAATGTGATAAGGAGCTATGAAAATGGAAATTCTCTATTCTTTAAGTGGGAGAATGATTTTTCCTATTGCAGGCAGCTGAAACAATACATTCAGAAAACGTATTACTAAACCATGTTTAATAAATAGCAGTGTGGAGTGATTATTTTGTTTTGACTCCAGGCAGAGGAGGTTTGAGCTCTAGCCACTTAATTAGGTTGCTCATTGAACTCTTCGGAACAGTGTACACTGGATTTCTGGGGAGCCTAGCTGTAAAGTAGCTTCTAGAAATTTGTCACCCTTTTTCAAAATAATTATTGTCTTGACCTGTCTACTGAGGATGATGAACACTTTGGCACTGCTGTGCTCCACACTGGCTGAAAGACGCAAGTCCACAGACACTCACCTCCAGAGTTTTTTGTCCTGATCTGGCATTTGTTCAAATTGTACGTGAAAATTGATTTAGTGAAGAATGGTCAGTTCTTCCTCATTGATTAAAACATCATATAGAAATCCTTCCATCCAATGGGAACACTGTTCCTTTGAATTTTCACATTTCCATTTAAGGTGATCCGCTCTCTGGAATTACTTCCATATATTCTTCCACCTTGAACTCTCCCTCTCTGGTTTCTAAACCCTTTTTAAAAAAATAAACTAATTGAGAAATTTCTTCAAAGTGAGACAAAGTATAAAACAGCAAAGCCTGGGCAACAACCTGACACTAGTGTGATGTTTGGTGTGATTTTTCTTAAAGGGGTAGCTTATCTATTTGGCTCTTTCTCAGTCCGTCTCTTCAGCCTCACTTCATATCTTCAGCCCCCCTCCACCCCGCTGCTCACCCCATGAAATTTCTAGGGCTGAAGATTTATAGGAAGGGCAGTGACCTGTCGCATTCTACAAAATGACTAATGACACCTGAGGCACAGGAATCATAATTTGTTCAGTGTTTGATCATCTGCATCTATAGTTTTCTTAAACTGCCCGTCCTTCAGATGAGACGTTAAACCGAGGTGGACGTTAAAGATCCCATGGCACTATTCAAAAAGAGAAGGGAGTTTTTCTTGGTGTCCTGGCGAATAATCCCCCTAATAAAATCAATCGCTCACACCTTGGCTGTTTGTGGGATATTGCCGTGCACAATTTTTCTGCCTACAAAATACACAATCACTCAACTTTACAGTAAATCCTGTGAAGGATTTTGAGCTGTCAACAACAACAACAACAACAACAAGATTCCATTTATAAAGCGCCTTTCACGTCAGGAGGACTGTCATTCTGATGTGAAAAGTCAGTATATCAAATGCAAGCATTATTACAAATTTTAATAACAATCCTTACATTTGATATAGCACCTTATCACATTGTTGAAATGTGTCGAAGCACTTCATAAAATTGACTATAAAGTGCAGTGACTGTATTATCACCTGAACTGTGAGTTCAAAAGTCCCAATGTGGGGCTTGAACTAACATCCTTCTCATTCAGAAGCTACCAATTAAACTAGGCAGATTTCGTAAAAATAGTTAAGTGGTAAAGCATTAAATGCTTTTTATGCATGCAAGAGAATTCTGTAATTTATATAGGAATTGTGAAATAGTATCTTTTGCATGAATAAATTTCTAAAGCAATCGTCATAACTAAAACACATCATAATATATCCCCTGATAGCTAGTCATTTATTTGGTATGGAAACCGTTTACATGAATTAGAAGTGTATTTTAGGAGTTGTTGAGTGGGAAGAGGGAAATCGTGAAGGATTTTAAACTGCTTGTTTATGTCCTAGGGGAAACATTGAGACATCAGAGCAGCTTGTGTGCCATAATGTGATTTCATAAGAGATTGTGAAATAGCTAAAAGATCCCATGAAAACTGTATTAGATGTGGTTCTGTTTGAAAAGTAAATCTATTTAAGCCTGTTTAGAAATGGGTATCAATAAAGTTTGTACTGTTTTACAAAACAAAATGTTCTCCACAAATTATTAGAAAATGTTCTGGTGTCAAATTTCTTTTCCACTTTAACAATACAGAAGATTGCACAGAGTATTAACATTGTCATCAAAATGCCCCAAAAATATAAATTCATGTTTTCCACACGTGATCTTAAAATACCGTTTTTGTTTTTGCCCAATAAAATGAAATACAATAAAATTCAGGTGTGTCGTATCAGTCAGGACCATAACATTTAATATGACTTACGCAAAGTCTGATTTGCAGGCAAACTATAAGTCGTATAAAATCTGACTTGATCTACACTACGCGTACACAATTCATTGCGGCCGACCAGCAAGGGCTCATGCATCGAGTAGTCGGGACGTCATTTCCCACGATTCAATGCAGCCGGTACCAACATGAGTGAGTAATGTAGGGGAGCAGTGTTACGAGTTAGGAGGTGATTAATATGAGTAGTGCAAAGAAATCTAAGTGGTTTGATAGGGAACTGAATGGGACTCGAGAAGTTTGCTCTGGCTGTCGTGGGCTCAGTAGGAATGCTCTTTGCTGTGTGGCTAGAGTCATAGAATCGTAGAAGGAAGCCATTCAGCTTGAGTCTGGACCAGCTCTCAGAGCAGAGTGTAAAAATCCTTTTTTTTTCCAGGACTGACATCATCTGACTTTGAGTTTTTTGTGGAAAATTGTCTTAAACTGTCTCCACTGTTTTTTTCTTCAGAGTCCTGATGATGATGATGACCGCTCACAACAAAAGGATCGGCAGAGGGAGGATGTCGTTACTCAACAAAATACTCTCCAGAATGAGTCGATTGTGTCAGATGCAAACACTACATTTTCTGTAAGCATTTATAGCATTTATTATCTACCTCAGTTTTTTTAGCATTTAATTTTTCCTGAAATATTCTATATCCAAATTTTTTTTTGTGATTTTAGTCTGATTAAATCAATATGAATTTTGTTGGGACAATGCTTCAATGTGAAATTAAAGCACTCACATGATACATACTGTACTGTAACTGGTTGATGTAGGTAGGTGTATGGACACGCTGAATAAAAATTGGTGGGTGAAATTTCAAGTGAGACTGAAAACTAGTTTTCTGATAGCAATCTGCTCAACCTAAGTTGTTTCTTTACATGATGACGTGGATTGAGCAGGACTGTGTGGGAAAATGCCTCAAGGGAAGTAGCAAAAGTTTAACAGCAGGAAGATGGAATCAGCAGGAGTAGGGCAGAGGAGTTTTAATTCCAGGAACAAGGAAGGGACACCTCTGAGAACGAGAAAGGAATGGGCAAAGAGAGGCCTGAGAGAGGGTGAGCATGGGCGCAGTGTGAGAGGGTGAGACGTGATTGTCTGGAGGTAACGCAGAGAAAGTGAAGGATAGAGGTGAAACAGAGTGGACCCAAGGATAATAATAAGAGTGACTGGGAACAAATAATAAGCAAAGAGAATACATTAGAATACATTAAAATATGCAGCACAGAAACAGGCCACTCGGACCAACCTGGTCTATGCCCGTGTTTATGCTCCACATGAGCCTCCTCCTGCCCTTCCTCAACTGAGCCTTCAAGCATAACCTATTCCTTTCTCCCTCATGTAACTATCTAGCTTTCTCTTAAAGACATCTATGCTATTTGCCTCAACAACTCCCTGTGGTAGCATGTTCCGTATTCCCACTACTCTCTGAAGAAATTTCTTCTAACTTCCCTATTTGATCTATTTGTGACTATTTTATATTGATGGCCTCCACAAGTGGAAACATCTTCCGTATCTTGACATAGGGAAGAGGCATGCCAGAAAAAAAAATAATCAAAGTATGAAATAACAATAATCAAAAGGAGCAAAGGACGTGTGATCAGTATGAGAAATGGGTCAGACTGAGCAAGGGGAGAAAAACAGTTCACTAGATAAATAATTATGAAAAACTAAAAAAAATTCAGAGTTAGTGAAGAGGAGGAAAAATAACAAAAGTGACGAGCTGAACAATTGATAGTAAATCAGGGATTCCTGAGTGGTGAATCACAATTTGGAAACAGACTGCAAAAGTGGTTTATCGAGCCCTTACATGTTCTATCTACCAGAGGATTTTTATTAGATCTCAGACAAAGAGTTCTTTGAGGTAAATTAATATAATTGGGAACCTATGCATTAACTCATCTGCTGTTTCAGCGATCTAAATCATTCTTTGATTGTAGTTCGAACTTCACCTGTAAGGCTCTCTTTTTTTGTCTCTACGTTTTGTAGTCAAATATGAAGCTTCCTTTTAAATGTATTCCGTAGCAAACGCATTAGTAACGTCCGTTTGGCAAAATTAATTGTTGTATTTTATGGGGAGGGGCAAGGGCGTGGAGGCCTTTGAAAGTTAGAACAAGGAACTCAGTGAATCCACTGGGGAGAAGGCCACGTTATGGGGTAATAGGAGAAAGTATATGGGCTGCAATGTTCCAGATGATCTGGTTGAGTTAGATAGCGTGGCAGGAGTGTGTTGGAGTTATTGAGTCTGGGTGTGAAGAAGGCATGTGCAGTGATGGAGGAAAATCGGCTTGGTCAAGACCAGATCAAAGGCTTAGGGGGGAACAACATGCCAGGATTATGCATTGGCTCTTTGCATCCAAGGAAGTAGACTCAATCAGAACATGAGCTGAGGAGACACAGGCATGAGCCAAAGAGGATTGCTTGGGTTTTGTCGACATTCAGCTGAAGGATGTTGAGGTTCCCCAATAAAGTGTTCAATTATCACCATTCATAACTGTGAATGATTATGGAGGAACTCAGTCAAATATACCTCTCATTTCTGTGTCACTTTAAAATGATAAAGCTGGCTTTCTGTTGAGATAGCTGAATCGTACATGGAAGGAAGAATGCCCCCCCCTCCCCCCAACAAACTTGTCTGGAATGTGAGGAATTGATGTGGTAAATGGCTTCTGGTCAGTAAACAGATCTGAATGGCAGTCAGTACTGACCTCCCCAGAGCTTTATGCTTTTGTTTTGCGCGCACGCCAAGTGCTCTGGAATTAGAGCCAAGTTTACTGTGTCACACAATGGTAATTTATGTGCAAACTAAATAGAAAGAACAAATGTGTTTTTTCACTTTGCAGATCTTAACAGCTAACACTGTAGTTTGTAATAGGTAAAACAAAAAGAATTCGAGAACCAAGAGAAATTCTAAGAGATTGCTGAGAACATCCCAAGGAATGGGGTTTCTCAAATATGCGTTATAAAATTGATTGAGAGAAGCTGGAATTTGGGGAGAAAGAATTAGCAGTTATTTAGTATTTGACATCTGTCTTTACTGAAAAAGATCATGGAATTTTTCTAAGTAAGAAATTTGATTTCCAAGAATGGTGCAGGAATAACTGGACAGTGTCCATATGGTGACAGATTTGGTTTATAGAGGTTGGATGCTCTCAGAGAGAAAGTGCCCACCTGGGCAATTTGGACCAATTGAATTTAATCCTTGGAATATCACAGGTGAGGACATCAGGACACATTTGATTTATGGAGGCCGCTGATAAATCTATTTGTTTGTCATGTTCCTCCTCTTCTCCTTCTCCTTTTCCCCCCACGTTTCCTGATTTTTATGTGCAAACTGCTTTTTGGGTTTATCAAGTCACATGTGCACCTATCAAGTTTCCATGAATAACTTTCCATTGGCTGCAAAACTCTGATACTCACACCAATGGAAAGTGCTTTTTTTTCTAAATTGCTCCAATCTTCCAGAATGGATGGTGGAAGCTGGAAGCAGTTAGGAGAGCTTTACGTTTTATTGTTGTTGGAAATTGGAAGAAAAAGTTTGGAGTAGTAAGAAAATGCAAAACGTTTACTATTTTGCACAATAATTGCTTGATGCATTTGATACTATAAAAAGAAATGTCTTTGTTTAAAAAAGACCAAATAGAAAATAGAGTGGGAAAGTGTTCAGTTTTTAAAATATTTTTAAAATATATTTTATTGTTTTTTAATATTACAATTGAAAGAAAGGACTTATGGCTCTTTATGCTGAAACCTTCTTTATACTTTTCCTACTATTTGTCATGGCTTCCGACATCTTATTTTTGTGTACTTCATCAGTACAAGATCGTCTTTACTTCCTGTGCAATTTGGAATTTGCATGTTGGTTGACATGATCTCTGTTATATAACCTGGAAAAACACCATGTATTTAAATCTGGAAAACATTTTGCACTACATATGTAACAGTGGTGAATGGAAAACATTCCAGTATATCATCTGTGTTCAATATTTTTTATTGAGAAAAGTAAATAATAGACTGGAGTACAACTTATTATCTAGATCATAATTTATATCAACCATGAAGTGGGATCTCATTTCAATTTCAAAGATCTTCATAATTTTGCAATTGGTTGAAGAATTTTTTATCCAATTCTTTTCATCACCTGTTCGGTTCTGCACATTCTGTTCCCAGAAACAATAAATTAGAAAATTGGCATCAGTCAAATATTTTAAAAGTACACCAGGATATAGGAACCCATACAGTACTTTGTATGAACTCTTGTATTCATGCACGATTTGTTTTAACCTGAAATACAGACTTTAGTTTCAGTAATGCTGCAGTCATTCAATTTTGACAGTTGGTCCTTTATTTTTCTGTCTATTTGTATGTCAGTTTTTGTTCCTATTCACTTTATACTTCTTTCTTTATACAGCACTTATTATTATTATTAATAAGGTGGAGAGATTGAGGCAGAGTTCCAGAGTTTATGGGATGTAATGACTGACTTTTTTCCTGTTTTGTCTCCTTTACTTTTTCCCTTACTTTATTTTTTACTTTTTTATCCTTTTTTTATACTTTATACTGGGCCTTGTGTGGCCAAACAAGCTGGGAAGATGTCTAATAATGGAAAGATGTTTTGCAGAAAGAGTTTCTTAATGTTCTAATAATGCCCCTTTACTTTGAATTTCAATGTTTCAAATTAAATGTTTGAGTAAGACCTTTGTTATTGGTTAGGAATGGAAAAAAACCTTAGTGGTGTTCTAGTTTTTAATAGCAATGGCATAGTCCCAATAGAAAAGAGAGTTATCCGAGGGTTAGGGGTGTTGGGGATGGGAGGGGAGAGAGAGAGAGAGAGAGAGAGAGAGAGAGATTGTGGAGCAGTACATGGACCTTTTAAGTCCATTTTAGAATCAATATTGAGCTGGAGAGATTTTGAAATTACTCGTCCTATTACTGCTCTGTTCTGCTCCTTATATATATATCTTTGTTTCTGTCTGTAACGTGTGCCCAGTTATATTTTCAAATGGCTTAACATTACAATTAAGGCAGATTGTGGTGGGGAAGCGGAGATTATTTTATGATAGAAATGATGGGTGACTGACCAGAGAAGGAAGAGTTTGAATAGTTTGCCTTTTGTTTGAGAAAAGAGCCCAGCTGGGATCTGAAAGAGGTTCTACAGACCTTGTGAGAAGAAGGGTTTTAACCTGAGCTGTGATTAGCAGAGGTGGACTTTCCCCTTGAAAGATATTAACTCTTGGTGAATTATGAGGCAATAATTCAATCACAATTTCATTGCATTCTAGAAAGTGTTTGCCAGTATTGTTTGTTTTGCAAAGCAGAAAGAGTCGATCGTCATTTTGCATTAGCACACTCTCAAATTCAAGTGACCCAGGATCTGTTTCTGTTTCAGTATGATTTATGGGACTACTAACTTAATGTCACCTGCAACTGAATCAGTAATTATTTCTCTATAAACTAAGAAAAAAGATTTTCCAAACACTTTCTCAAGCTAGTACACCCTTTATCCGTTCAGCAGTAAACTTTGTTTAGTCTATTTTCCTCATCCAGAAAATCATCTGGAAAAAATCATTGGATTATCCTGTATTCATTTAATGGCATCTATAATGGTGGATAATATATCTATAGTGAATTTTTTTTATTTTTCTTACTAATGTGTATTATTATTTTCATTCATGATAGTATGTTAGGTGCAGCTTGGAGAGATTTTGAATTTATGGTACAGAACTGGCTGTGTTATTGGGTCTCTCATATTATATATTGTATATAGTATAAAATGGATCTTTACTGAAGTACATTTCACAAGATCATGATGGTTTGGGAGGTAATCAGTGTTATAAGCAATTCTGTTTCATCAACTATCCTAAATGTAGCAGTGGTAAATTTCAAACTCTCAGGGGACATTTTTATGAAACTTTTTTGGCTCCACAAATTTCTTCCCAATGTTATTTTGTAAAATATTATGAGCTTTCAATCCCCAGATGTTCAGTCAATTTAAAAGTTCACATGTCGTATGAGCTTATATTGTACCCAGAGTAATGGATACATGAGAATGATTGCAGTGGAAATCATTCAAGATATCATTTCTTGCCCCCAATTCATTGTAAAAAAAACTTCCATTGGTGGTGGAAGATTTTTAGAATGGGGGGAGCTGTAAACTGGGGTTAAGAAATCACGACCAGAGACACAAGCGTGAATGACGTGTTCCTTTGACGTGTCCATCCTCACCATCAATGGCGGCATGTTCGATGTGAAATCGACCCCAGGGACTCCTGCCTCGCCTAGGCTAAAGCTAAATCATCCCAAATAAACAGCAGTTACAGAAATGTGGCACGGAAGGTTTATAAACTGGCTGCACGACACTTGCAATGAGTTAGACCGGCTCAGAGATTGGGTTCTCTTGACCATGGGTTCTCAAACGTTGTCACAGTGAGCCTTCCTAACCTAAGAAAAACATTGCACCTTCCTTTTAGAGAAGAAAGAAGTATGGAAATAAAAATGTCATTCTGTCAATATTCCACAGACTACAATCCACCCTAATCCCTTCAGGAAAAAAAAACTCCCTAATCGTCAAAGGTATTCAACCAAAACTGCAGAATATTCATCCGTTCCTCCATATCCGCTGTTTAGTGTCAAGCTCCAGTCAATTTTGCCCACCCCTCCCATACAAAGATTTTAAAATCCTTACCAGTGAGCATGGGAAGTTCACATGTGACAGCCTCACGAGGCTGAGTTCAAACCCTTCTCGAACTGGGCTGAATGTGCAAACTGTATTTAATGGTAGCTTTTTACTTTGGCGGGGTGGAAACATACTTTCACCCCCCCCAACGTTTTCATTGGGAGGGCATTAAGTCCCCCTCTCCACCCCCTGGTTCCATCCCCAATGATACAATCTAAATTAGATACTGATAACTCCCCTGAACCAGACATTATATTACAACTGCCATCACTTTCTGTTGTCTGCTATTGTTTATTAGAGATATGCTTACATCTTATGAAAGGATTTGTTGCACTTGGTCAGATTTTGTTCCAGTCTTGTCTTGACAGGTTTCAACTGCTTATGTGATCCACGACTTTGATCAATGGTGATATTCACACATGAAGAAGAAACATTGTAAAATTCTTGTTTTTCAAAACATTTATGTATTGATGGTCAGGAAGTTCTATACGTCATTTTTTAAATCAATATCTGGGAGGGAATTGTGCATCCATAATTCAATCGAAAGGAATTCTATGAATTGCAGTTCTGCTGAAGAGTATTTAATTAAATTTATACCTTAAATTCCCCCTGAATACTGTGATTAAAGCATTATCTAGAAAAAGAAACTCTTTAATATCGGTAAGCAATAATTTGATTTGCATCGCTTGTGTTTTAACAGATTATAGTTGAGATCAGTTAATCAGCAAGGCTACACTAAATGCTACATCAGTGTGCTATTAAAATACCGGATATGATGAGACGCTCAATATCTGAATTAATAAAACTATTAGGGAAATATTTGAAAATCTGGGTATTTTTAGTGAAAATCACAAACTTTAGCTGGAAACAACTTGACCTGTGATCTAATCTTGAGCCTCATTTGTTTTCCTGTTCAAGGCTATCCAGTTCTCCTGAATCATTCCTGGGTTATGTTTTGTACAACCATTTTCTTTATTTGTGTGTTAAGATATGAAAGAAATGCAAAAACAAGCATTTGGTCCATTGGATCAGTTTCTTCTTATTTTACACAGTGTGGATGCTAAAACAAATGCATGTGATAAACTTGTACCTATTTAATTTATTTGCTATCTGATTTCCACCCTGAAGTTCAAGAAGTACAGTGATAATTAAAATACTTTATTATTCTCTTAGACAGAATAATTAAAGATCCTTGCAGGTGAGAATCTGGTGCTCGTGATACATCTGTGAAATTCAGAGGTTTTTGAAAACAAATTAAATGAAGTTTTGCATCAGGATGATACAACAAAGCCTTAAATAAAATGCTTTCCCAGCTTTCAGTTGAAGTTCAGTCGCAAGAAGGGTTGAAATGAACGCTGATGTCAATTACTTTGAAAACCATATGGAATTGTAATAATGAAGTTTGAGTATACTAATGCTGGTTGACAAATCATACATCAAAGTTGACTTCAAAATTGCCGCAGCCCCACATGATATGCCTCAATTGAACCATCATTTCCCTTTTATTATTGTTTGCATAATGAATTTAGATTTTATTAAGTGGAGGATATTTTCACCAAGAATTAAACACTTTTATCATTATAGGTATTCATCAAGCTTTCCAAAGCAGGTGTAGCATTACCATCTGCAGAGTTAAGATCCATGTCTTCTGGCATAAGCCCAGAACAATATACAAGCACTTGCGCGCAATTAACCCATTTTTTTGCTGTAAGCATCTGCCCACAGAACCTGCTTGAGACTGTCCTTTTTTAAATGAAAATTAAACTATTGGGAGCTGAAGCTCAGTGAGTGCTATGTTCAGATATAAAGAAATGCCTGAAGCAGTTATTGAAGTGAATAACTTTAATAATGTTAAGCCTTTTTGAATCAACACACTTTTTTCTGAAGGGGGCTAGGCCATTCTGGGGCTCTATATTGAAATATTTGGAATGGGTATGAACTGTTTTCTGTAAAGTATGTGATTAAAATGTTTGTTCCCTTTTAGGAAACTTCTCGAACTGTGACAGGACGATGGAAAAGGTAAACAAAACGTTAACAAACACTTGTTTTATTTGAGCCCTGCAAATTCCACGTTTAAACCTCTAAATACAGGGTAGTCCAATGCTGTAAACCTGTACTGAACAGTCCTGTGGATTAAGATTTCAAGCCTCAGGGAAGTTGAATTCCTATTGAGACTGTTCCGCACTTTTTCCCCTCCCCCTCCATTCAGATGACAAGTTACCAGAGCTGAAGTGCTGAATGGAATCAAGGTCATCACTGGCTGGCAACAAAAAGGTGGATTTGGGAAGAGTTTCACATAGGATTGTGCTTTAGTTTCATCTACCTTCAACACTACCACATAGCCCAATCTGCCTTCTAACCTAAGAATATAAGTAGTTTAAACTAGGAAGCAGTAAAAAGGAGAAAACTTGGATAAATATAGTTAAAGGTTAAAAACTAAAACAACAACAATTTGCATTTATATCGCGCCCCTTACGCAGGGTAACTTCCCAGAGCGCTTGACAATGGCGGAGCACTGCTTGTATATTGGATCATATATTTATCCATTAAAGCTAATTTAACCCCATAAGCTACGCCTTCAATTCTGTGCAATTTTTTATTCTGTATTGAAATTACACTTTACAGGAAAGTGCTTTTTCTCATAATACTTGTGTTTACATGTTCACTGTAGCACTGCACCTGAAGATGATGCTGCAATGTATTCATCCAGCAGTCGGTATTCTGGCCGAGGAGAGAGGCCTGGCTACAACCGCTTTGGAAACACTTCTGTGAGTCCTGCCTTTGGCAGTACATTAGAGAAGAAACTAGAAGAACTCGAAAAGGTACAAAATAGATTTAGAAAAATCAAGAACAAGTATAATATGTCTTTGCAAGTGTGCAACCAAGAGAAACTCTATCATTTTCCTGATTAAAATCTCTAGAATGATGATTATGCGTGTTGAGAGTTGCCCATTTCAAGCTTTCGGATATGCTGATTTCTCGTCTTTGCGTTTTCATATTGGAAAGTTTTCTGAAGAATATGTTTCATAAACCTATAATTCAAACAAGCTCTTTGTTTCAAGCCAAGCCTGTATCCTACAACATAACTCTTATTAGCAACTTGAACCAATGCAGTGTCCAACTGATGGGCCAAGCTATCAATGGGTTTTCTTTTAAACCTGCTTTCTATCAGATTGGAAGAGGACTTTCAGTCCACCCTTACAATAAACTTCAAATTCTTCAGATTTTGTCATGCTTCACTTGTTTTCCACTATACAACTTCTGTGAAAGGGAGCTCTTTTTCAGAAATAGTTTTCAGGCCAAAGAGGAATAAGCATTTTGAGTCAGAAGAGGGATTTGTTAACACGTCTGGGGAACAATGTAGTAGATGGTCAACATTTATACAACATTTTACATATAAAAAGAATCTCAAATGCATGCGATTTTGTGGTGCAGTTTCTGGAGAAATTCAAATGCGACAATAGAATCATTCCATGTATTTTCAATGACATTTTCTAGCTTCTAATTACTTCACTGTTGTTCCAAGGGTTTTTTCATACCTGAGTTCATGTCTCCCAGGCAGTGACATTAGCTGGGGAAAGGAAACACCTCTAGATCATGTCATTGCTTGCCAACAAAGATTGCTGGGCAATTTGAATCTGAACCTTGTCCTTCAAAAACTCTTGTGACATTTTTGAGCCCATTTGCTCGGGGCTATTTTACCTAAATAAAATAGATAATAGGTAAGCTTATTTGGAAAAGTCCTGTTGCCAAATGTGTTGTGGAATGTGTTATTGTTCACAATAAATAAATTCAGCCTATTGCACTGAATTTGGTTGCTTTAGAATGAATATGTAAGCAGCCATGTGTATCCATTTCTGTGTTCTTTATGAACTTTACAATTTTTAACCAGAAAATAAATATTTATATGTATATAGTGCTGGAATGGGAGGAAATCATTTGGCTCTCACAAGACTATGAAGATGTTAAAAAAGTTGTCTTATGTAGTATTTCTGGATTTTATCTTAGATTGTAAGTAAGTTTATTATGTATCAATTTGGAGACATTATTAGTTCTGTTTTTTTTATCAGGAACTCACCAAGGAGAGACAAGAAAATCAGAAACTAGTCAAGCTACTACAGGACAGAGATGACCTTATTGGAAAGCTGAGAGAAGAAATTGACCTGCTTAACAGAGTAAGAGCCACTTATATTGAAACCATTCATGAAAGTACTAAAACGTGTATGAAGCTTGTTTTTAGAGAGGCACTAAACTTTATATTTGTTATCATTGGTAGTGCAACATTAATATTGAGGGTGTACTGTTCTCAGTACATCTGTTTTTTTTAAAAAACAAGTGTTTAAATGGTTTAAATGATGTTCAGACTCCAAGCTTACACTTTTTTCAAAGGGTAGATGAGAGAGGTGTGACTAACAGCCTAAGATTAATCTTTTTCTAGACAACAGAGCTGAAACTGTCTCAAGCTGAGAAAGCATTACATTAGTCTTTTTCAAAAACATACATTTTGCGGATACAAAATTATTTTTAACAAAAACAGCCAAGTATAATTAAACATCAATAAATATTTCTTTACCTAAACATCAAATCACTAGTATCCTGTTATTTTTCAGTATCAAAGGTACAAATGTATACTCTTGAGTCTGTTAATTGAATATGTTTTGATGATTGTGGGGCACATGACATCTTTCACATTTTTAAAATGTAACATTTAGCACCTTTCATGATTATTTTTGCTTTGTTCATTGTTTTGTTCTGTGTGTCAAGTTAATTAGCCCACGTGACTGGGGATAGGTTCGCATGTTTGCTAAAACACTAATGGCTTATGGAAATGTGTGCAATTTGGAAATGCTTTTAAATGCTTCACCTTAAGGTTTATATGCATTTTCTTTTTTAACAACCTTTTCTTCTGAATGATGAGACAAAGCTAAACATTAGCTGTACGGTTAAATTGTTAATGAATAGTAAAAGGTTATGAGGTATATTCTGTGGAATTCCAGATCTTGTTTGTTCAGTGGCCAAATTCTGTCCTGGAATGTCTGGAGAACCACAGAGACTGGCAATTTCTGATCTTTTAAGCATGCTTCACTTCCTGTCTGTAATCTCAGTTTGATCATGTAAGGATGCTGCAAAACTTCAGCTGTATGGAGAAGTTTATGTCTACAAATTGCCTTATGCCATAGCCCTAAAATATTGTTTTCAAGTGCTGCTTTTCCTTCCTACATCTCAGGCCCATAATTGCTAGGTTTGTCTCTCCCATCATTTATGTTAAGTGGCTTCAGTACACTGTGTCTGCAAAAAGATTCAAGCATGGTTTTGGGAAGTTAATTATTTGTCTCAATTCAGTCTAAAAAATCCATGAAAAAATCCTCTTTAAAAAAACACTGGGATCTCAAGCAAAGTTCAGCAGGTCTGTTACTACAGTACTTGGCACTGAAAGTTTAACCATCAGTATACCTACTGAAGAGTTAATTATAAATTTACATCTGGTAAAAATGAATATTTCCCATTTCAGATTGATAGTTTGCAGAAACCTCATGCATATTCCCTATAATTGACTTCTCTAGAATTATGCAGGGGTGAAAGATATGATTTATTTTTAGTCTCACAGGGCTATCTGGAGGTTTGCAGATAAAGTTAGATATGCTGTCTTTGTACAGTAACTGGTCAGGCATCCATCCTTCTGTACTATTGATCAATCCTAATTTCTTACTGTGCATAATTGTGTCTGCAACAGTTAGAAATTGTACTTTAACCACATTTCAGTACTTAGTGAGTTTCTCCCTTTGAGTTGCAAATTGAGAAAAGTGCTAGAGAATTCTGGTAATTTAAAGTTAGATCAATACGATGACTTTGTTGATACAGATCAATGGAATTTTTATGAGTTTAATGACCATTTATCATACCTACTTGAGATTAAAACCACACAGCCCTTCAGGGAGGTACAGTGATGGGTGCCAGGAGTTCATAAGAGCCTGCGATTCCTCCTCACTTGTCAAAATTGATCTAACCTCAATCTCTGAACTATGTCTTAATTGCCAACTTGTAAGTAGGGTCCAAAATAACTCTTCCCTTTGCCCATTTCCAATTGTGCAGATTGATAGGTCTGTGCATCAGCTACTCCTGAGAGGAACCCTTCAATCTATATCAGAATGAAAATCTATACTTCAGAGAATAGCACAGGAGCTCTTTTCGACTTACTTGTAGGTTTTTCCTAAGCTGAATTTATCATTGAGCCATGCAATTGGTTAACCCAATTGCAATTAGTGGATTCCTGTTATGCATTTGGCACCGCCATTAAATAGTATTGTTTTAACCATGGCAGGATTTCAATGCCCAGTATAGCATCTAGTAAATGATTGATCTCTTTAATTATAAGAACCTTCAAATTTTATCAGAACCAGTAAAAAGGTTATTTTTATCAGTAAAAAGGTTAAAGCGATTTATAAACTTCAGATCACTGTGGACCAACCTTTTTTTNGCTTGGCCAATTAAATAATCATAGAAATAACAAACTAGCATAGATTTATGCCATAAATCAAGAAATATTCAATCAAGAAACAATCGTTTTATTGGCCAACCAGAAAAGGTGATTGGCTTCCCTTAGACCATCTGCTTTTTACTTTGCTCTTATATTACAGCACCATGGACTTAAAGTACAGTGCCATATAGATCCATAAGAATGTTGCTATTTGGCCCATCCTGTGCTTAAGTTCCAGTGGAACCATTCAGCCATTTGTCCTTTCAAAATGGGATAAAAGGGTAGATTGTCTTTTTTTTAAAAAAAGGAAAGGTCATCTTTGCGGGAGAGGGGAATAATTGCTTCCAAGGTCAGTAATTGTCTAAACATTGTTGATCTAGTCTTGAAGGTGAAGATATGTCCCACAGCCTACAACCAACGTTATAATGGGCAGAGTACACTGGTCCCAGCTGGGCAAGTAATAATAGCTGAGCAAGTACTGTGAATCAAGCAGCACAATTGCCATGAAATGCACTGATGAAGTCTAAATGGTGCAGACGCTGTTCGGCTGATCCTAGCTCCTGGTTTTAAAACTTGCCTTGGAGTGCCACATATTCCTCCAAAGGACACCTGGCTGCAGTGTCTTCTGTTTCAGCAATTTTGCAATGCTTTAGGCTGAATAAAAGAACTTGACACAAACAACTCATTCATGGGAAAGTGATCCTGGCTGTAAGAATGTTGATGCTTTTGTTTAGTCTCAATATGGACAGACCTTGGAGTGCAGCTCAGCACAGAAACATTCCTCCTGCCCCCACAGATTAAGCATGAAATTAAACACAAAAGAAAACATTCACAAGATCATTTTGTTAAAGCTGAACTGATAAAACTTATTATATGTCTGTTTGAGTGACCAAAGAGAAGGCATCGATCAGAAATTAGTGAACTTAGTGGGTTCAGACTAGTCCAACATTTGATGAGATTAATTCCAGGCAAAATAACCAGCGCACCCTGATTATCAGCTAGCATTCATTGCCTCTGACAGCACATTCCTTGGTACTGAACAAATTAATCTTCTCAGTTCAGAAGCAAAACTGAATTCAGGTAGATTGTCTAGTTGAGTTCCAGCAGGTATGATATATGCCTTGGCTTCTGGTTTCATTCTCCACATATAAAGCTCCCTCTGTCTGTCTCTTATTTTCTCTGATTTGGCAGGATTTGGATCTACATATTTTCATTGTATTAGGTTCCAATGCTCCTGCTGTAATAGTATTATTAGTGCTACCACCCCCTTAAAGATCTGAAGAGGGGTTTAGAATAATATATATATATTCAGTTGAAAGTGAGGGAAGCACTTTGCTGAATTGTAATGTTCTCATATCATAATATGAGTAGTGGAGATTGAAGTTTAATTAAAGATTGAGAGGGCAGAAGTAATTAATCTAACATTCCTCCTCCTCTTACTATTGCTGTGTGTGTTGAAATTTTAGAGGATTTGCAGTTGAGTAACATTAGGGAGTGACGAGCCCATATTATCTGTACAATTAACTTGTAAATAAAACAGTAAAGCTACTGCTCAAATTACAATGTAGTCACTTATTAGTCTGCATACAGGAAGCAAATTCCTTTAGTTCACTAATGCTTTGAATTGCGAGTATAAAAATGTATTATGCTTTCTCCACCCACCCAAAAAGGATTTGGATGAAATAGAAGATGAAAATGATCAACTGAAACAAGAGAACAAGACCCTTTTGAAAGTTGTCGGACAGTTAACCAGGTAGAAGCTATTGATGCAAGTCATTTCTACTGTACTTCGTACAAGTAAGTTTAACTGATAATGTGGATTTTATTATCCCAGAATTAGCTTTGAAAAAGCACAGACTTTTGAAGAAAAATCCTTCCGAGTTCACACTACTCTTGCCTGGGAGTGTTGTGCTTCTACTATAAGAACTGTTAACCATTGTTAACCATGAACATTTTGAATTAGTGGCTAATTGTGTCTCAGTATTTCATATACCAACACTTGGATTTTTTTGGATAATTTCAAAGTTTTCTTAGAATATTCGTAAGTGTAAACAGGTCATTCATTTAAATTATGGATTTAAAAACCTTGTATTTCAGTGTATGCTCGGATCATTTATGTACCACTATCTTAAGAAATTGTCTGTGTATTCAAAATTATATGGTTAAAACTAAGAAATTAAAGTTGCTTTACAGTTTAATAGGTTTAGGCAGCATTGATCCCAAGAAATATAACCATATGAAGCATTCATATAATAAGCAGGCCTTCCATTTACAGTATGGATAAATCTTTGCACTTGTATGTGATGTATATCATTTATATACAATTATATCTTGTTTTGTGTATTCAACATCATATGGTTAAATATAAAGAAAAGATAGTTTCCTATTTAATGAAGGTATGGATAGGAATTTCTTAAGCAAAAAATGCATCTTAAAATTATCTGCTATGCCTATGCATACAGACCATCACTATAATCTGACCTTTACTAAATTCCATTTACAGGATAGTGTTGGCTGCTTTCATAGCTTTTCTTATTGAATAAATGCATTCCAAAAGCAGGAAGATGTTTACTTATATCACGTACAACAATCCACAATGTTAAATGTTTGTCATTTTGTAAGCATATGAATACTACATCAGAATTTATCAACCTGTTTTATTTAGATTGAATGCCTTATTTAAACGTGTGACCTGTTCTTGGACCAGATTGAACAATCGTATAATCTCACAGAAAAAAATGTTTACTTTTTAAAAAATAAACTGTTTTCAGTTGTGTTCTTTTCAGTAGAAAATTAAAAGCCTGGAGCTTTTAAATTGATAGAGGCAAGCATGTAAATATACAATGCGGGGAATGAGTTTTGATTGCTATTAAGATAAAATTCTTAAGAATTGTGACCTGCATTAATCCTGTTTTAGCTTAATTTAGTGCACCATAAGGGATGGTACATTATAAGCTGTTTATGCTGTTGTAGATAAAATTATGCAAAATAAAGTCAGCAGCACATTACAATTTGTATTGTGTCATTCATGTTTGGTTTGTGTTCATGTAGATTAGTATAAGAAAATATAGAAATCCTTTAGTTTTTTGGAGGGGAGGTGATGGAAGAAAAGAAGGTCTAGTTACATCATAATATATGCTTTTCAGTTTAATTTGCTCTGTGCATGTTTCAATACCAACTAATTCATTGTGTTTTCAAGTCTCTAATATTATACATTTGTCCATTTCAAGCCACTTCTAATTTATATATCTAACTTATTCTGAAATGATTCTAGCCATATGTAAAACTCGCCTACATAACCTGTTTCATTCTAAATATTTTCACTCAAGATCTTCCTACAGGCTGACCAATTTGGGCCTATATTCTCTAGAATATAGAAGAATTAGAGGGGATCTTATAGAAACCTATAAAATCATTAAAGGGCATGATAGAGTAGATAGTGGGACATTGTTTCCCCTGGTTGGAGAAACTAAAACCAGGAGTCACAACCTTAAAATCAGAGGCCAACCCTTTCGCACTGAGTTGAGGAAGAACTTCTTCACTCAAAGGGTGGTGAATGGATGGAACTCACTACCCCAAAGGGCTGTTGACGCTCAGTCCTTGAACATATTCAAGACTGAGATAGATAGATTTATTATTGCAAAAGGGGTTAAGGGATATGGGGATAAGGCAGGGTTAGGTTATTAGCTGGAGTTAGATTAGATGATCAGCCATGATTGAATGGCGGGGCAGGCTCGAAGGGCCGAATGGGCTACTCCTGCTCCTACATGTTATGTTATGCTAATTTTCATAACATCGAGGCTCGATTATGCAAACTCACTGCTTGTCGGCCTCCCCAACTCCTCCCTCCACAGGCTGCAGATCATCCAGAACTCTGCAGCCTGTGTCCTCTCCCGCACTAGGCTCCGCGACCCTTATCACCCCCATCCTTGCCCAACTCCACTGACTTCCCATCACACAGAGGATACAGTTGAAGATCCTGGTCCTCACCTTCAAAGCCCTCCACAGTCTTGCTACCCCCTACCTCTCCGACCTCCTAACCCCCTACCGCCTTGTTCGCTCCCTACACTCAGTGGGCTTCGGCCTGCTTCACGTCCCCCGCCTCGCTCACCCCACTATCAGTGGGCGGGCCTTCCGCCACTCTGCACCCACCCTCTGGAACTCCATTCCGCAGTCCCTTCGTCTCACCACCTTCAAGACCCACCTCAAGACCCTCGTCTTCGACCGTGCTTTCGATCTCCCTGCTTCCATCCCTGCCCTCCACCCTCACCCACCCCGACCCTCAGCTCGGGTCCGTCTGTCCAGCGCCTTGGGACGTCTGCCTGACGTGAAAGGCGCTATAAAATTTAATTTTGTTATTGTAATCCATTCGCTGTTCATACAATTAAATGGAGGAGGAATGACCTGTCATTAGTATGAAAATGACTGATTGCAACAATACACCTATTAAGCAATAATATATAGGTGCCTTTATCATAGCTGGGAACTTAGCTTGGACAGTCTAACTGAAACATAAGACCTTCAATCGACCTGCTACTTTACTTCCGTGGCTCCCTGCAGTGTATTATTGCTATTCCCATAAAATACACAGCCACTCCACTTCACACTCTATCATATGAAGTGCTTTGAGACAGCTCAACGATGTGATAAGGTGCTACATCAAATGCTAGGATTATTATTGTATATTATCTCTTTAATGTGATCCAATTTACAGATATCCAATTTGGGATATTTGAAAATAAAGAATGTGAAATGTACTCCTCAATTGGATTGGTGGGGGTCAAGGGAAGAAGCATCATTATTTTCCACACATGATCTACCTGCTGCATAATCATCTACATGAGATTTTGAACAAAGTGAATTCTCAATGTGGCGATAATCAAAGGTTTCTGATGTTCATTTTTAACTTAGAAGTTGGTATAGGAGGAACAGCATTAACTTTCATCTCATTTATAATATTAGCCACAAAGCACACCTATGAAATGAAATGAAGAATGCTCCTGTTTTCAATGTAGCATTCCCATTGTTCAGTTAGCAAATTGAGTTTTGTCAGAGAAGGCAACAATAATTGAATGCTAAATGAATACCTGTCCCGTGTCTTATAACTTCCAGAAGCCATTGAACACTTATGGCACTTGTATCCATAAACAGTATATGTTCATTGTTACATGAAACGCTGATTTATTTTAAACTACAACATGGATATAGATTTGAAAACAATAGAGTTCTTCATTTCACCAGGCACATCCTCTGACTGACTTGGAAATAATCTGAACCAACAGGTAGAAAATGTTAAATTATCACAATAAATATTCAGTCCTGAGGGCATATAGTTTTAAAAAAAAATCATTAAGAATCTGGCAAGAAGTAGCGTTTCCAGCAAGAATTTAAACTATGACCCTATGTAGAACAATCTTTAAAATGTTCCACTCCTTTTGCTATACCATGGGTTTATTTTCTTTGCTCTACAAAGAGATTATTACATTTAGAAGTCTGATAGACCATGAGAACAAGAACATAAGTCTTTTATTTTGAATTCTAATACCCTTTCCACTATGATAAACTTTTTTTAACAAATTCTCATCTAGCATTCTGTTATGACCATTAATAATCTTGGTATATAATGTATGTGCAACATATCTTATCCACTCTGCACAAGAAGATATACCTGTTTCTTTAAAATACAGTCCAGTTGGTTTCCATATGATCTAAGACAAATTTCTCTTGTGCCTTTTCATTGAACCATTTCTCTGCTCATGAATAGTCACAGCATGTACCATGGGAACGTTGTAAGCACACGGCCTTTCAAGGATCTCCGTGTAGGTGATGTACGGAAAACACCCATCTTCCTTATCATAATGTGCCCATCCTCAGAGGAATTTGCATATCCAGTTCAGCAGCTCAAAGATTAGGTAAAAAAAACACAACGAAATATAGATTATGCCATAATAATTTGTAAGAGAAATGGTCTTTACCCTGAACACCATCAATTTGAAATCAGATTAAGGATTTATATCTTGAACTATTTTACCAAAAAGTCAAATTTTATAAAATATGTTTTTGTTTTCTTATTGTTTTAAGATATGTGAGCTCTTGAGTTTTATTTGCAGTAAGTGCTTTTATTGACATTTCAATACACCATGTGGCAGGAATCCAAAGTGATTCCATAGAATATAAAATTGCTGCTTTTACAATAGTGCCATCTATAGACCTGAAAGATGAACACCTTTGCTGTCACTTGAGTTATAGTCAGCAGTAAGATTATATTGCTAGCAAATGTCAACAATTTCATGAAATGTGCATGTTTAAATTTACAGTAACAATCTTAGTGATTTCGTTAACCTCATGCGTTATAGTTTTTATCTCGGGTGTATTCAGTGAGGAAAAATCAACAGTTCATATTTTTCCTTTTTGTCTCTTTACTTTTTAATTTTCACAGGTGGCACTTGTTTTTCAAATGAACCCACCAAAAAAAACAAAGCATTTAATTGCACAAAGTTTTGCACACGTTTGCCCATAAATACACAGTCAATCCACTTCACAATATATTCTGTCAAGTGCTTTGAGACGTCTTGACGAAGTGATACGGTGCTATATCAAATGCAAGGATTATTAATTATTATTCTATTATTTTACTGTTGTGGTTAATTGCCATTGGCAGCTACTTTTCATCCCATAAAAGAATTTCAGCCATCATTCTGTGCACCTTCAGTTCTCATAACTGAGGATTGTTCTCGCGAATAGTTATTGCAGGAGTTGCTTTGACTTCTTAATTGTTAACAAAAAGAGCCATATGAGGCACAGAGCAAGTTTAAACGTTCAGCATCAAGCTGGCTTTTAAAGTTAGTAACAGAGTTCATAATCCATGTGCCCACATAAAGTGGATGAAATTGCTAGAGAACAAAGAAAATGGCAGGTTTATCTCAGTACTTAAGATCTGTACAATAGTGTTGACATTTTTCCTCTCTTTCTAATGGTGAAGTACTAATTTGTCTTGACAACTACCACTTTAATTTTCTTAAAAAGGCAGTCAACCTTGAAGTACAAAACAATTCAAAAGCATTTCACAGTACATCCAGCTGGTAAAATTGACACATTTTAGAAGGAGCAGCAAAGGTGAAACCTGTAGTGGTGTGAAAGGTACATTTTTCTAGATCTGAAGCATTAAAAATCCTGCTGGGAACTGCTTTTCAGTGTATTGTTGCAGAAAGTGCTATTGCTTCCCATTCTTCAGCTGTTTTTTTCATGCTTCCTGTGCAGTATTCTTCCCCATTTACTGTTCTCTCCAGGCCTCTTGACATTTAACTCATTATATTAGAATTTTCTGTTGTACTTTGTGTCTTTGTCTCTTTCCCTCCTTGTTTTTAATCTCTCTGTCTCTCACCTCCATCTCTCACCTCTTGGCTCTCAAGAGGCAGAGAGGTATTTGTATGCTAAAATACTCAGCAACTGTAAAGGCGCTGTAACAAAAGCTTTCCATTTTGATATTTCACCCTATTTTGTCAATGTCTCAAAGCGCTTCACAGAGTTTTTCTGAAAACAAAGTGACTGTTTGTTGACGAACTCAGCAACCAATTTTGCACACGGCAGTGCTCCACAAGTAACCAGAAGGTGAATAATCATTTTCCTGGAGGATTGTTGGCCAGGCAACCAGGAGCAACTCCCTTCTTTGAATGAACACAACTTAAAAACAAGGCAGTCAGCTGTATTATCATTTTGGGTGGATCTGCAGTGTAATGGGACATGTGCATTGTGCATCTATTTATCATTAGTAGCACAGCTCCTGCAATTTAAATGAAGTCGTTCATGGGAGCCATTATGTACCACCACACCCAAAGTGTTTACAATTGCAACAGTTCCAGTGGCTTTGATTGACCAGTTACAGGGTTCAAGCTTCCTCTTCAGAGCTCAATCTCCCTTCCTTTCCAGTTGCACAATTTGTCGAACAGTTAGTAAATGTAGTTTTTCATTTTTGTTGCGAGAGATGGCGTGGCCTAAGAAATTTGAT